AAAGAAGTAAACTTTGACTTAGTCTGGCTGAGCAAATGAATGATCACACCGCTGGACAAAAGAGATTCACCCCAGTCTCAGGACACAATTACCACAGACAAAACCTCATAGGATATGATGCAGACTGGAAGTGACAGGAAACCACAGTGCCAGTCACTCACTGCCTGCAGAAGCTCCCAGGAGAAGATCATCACATAAAGGCCCTGGTGACACAGTCAGCCTACAGACGGAGGAGCAAAGACGTCCTCTGTACTGATAGGGTTTCTACTGAAAGCATCTTTACACCTGCCCATGTTCAGTGTGGTCAAGAAATCAGTGTCTAACAAGGTTCTGGCATGAGTTCTCTTAAAAGCGTGAGTTTATACTCCATTGTATGAGCAAGGAGGGGTATTCATTTCCTTCTGAGATGAGATGACAGTGTTAGAAGTGAGTGACCCAGCCCCTTCCTCCGTGTAAGTACAAAGACCCCACTAGTACTCATAATTGATTCTGAGGGCACAGCAGCCTCATTCCATCAGCCATTCTGTGTGTGCCCAGGATATAGTTCATGTAGAACATCCAACCTGGCCTACAAATCTGGACACAATCTCCTCATGGCTACATCATGTATTAATCAGCTGCCCAGGGAATATTTATCTAATCAACCAAGACAACTCTCGGAAGGAGCAGAGTTGACACTAGTAAGTCTGTTTTCTGGGTGCAGTGTTGGAGGAGGAGTTAAAGTAAACCCTTGTTGGCTTGAGCATGCCAGCAGACTAGGGAATATTTTTATTCTGTTTATAAAGAACTGGTTAGGAGTCTCAGCCCTGGAAATCTGCTTTCTGGTTGTTTCTTGCTGTGTTAAAGTGAAGTAATTGTTTTATTTAGGAAAACAAAATAGTTCAAACTTTCAGATGAAGTTCTGAGTCCCTCGGAGTCCTGCAAATCCATATGAAAACTAGCTCCCAAGAATAAGATGGCATGTAACAATCGAGAATTGTGAATGCTAAGTGATTCCAGTCACTCTAACCGCATAGAAAGCCATAATTTACACATTTTTCTCTTCTCTGTCTTTGAAAAGACCGAGACTGTCTGTTAGTGATTACCAAGAGTCAAGAGTAATGTGCCCTACCTCATTTGTTCATGCAGACCCCGGGCTCTTCATTCGCAGGCACTTTACAAACGAGCGAGCTGTGATGGGTTATACCTGTCGTTCATGTTCAGAGCATGACTTGGATGTGCGGCTCTGTAGCTCTGAATGTGCAGAGTTGCATCCACCTCCTCGCCAACCTGGTGGCTACTACCATAGAGAAATGACTGGACAGCTGAACATGGGCATCAGCGCTCTCATCTCGCTTGGTGTTTTGACTTCCCAGGTTACCAGAGATTGCCCTATTACTTTAGCTTAGTGCTCATAAGCAGTGTCTAGTTAAAAATCAGTGATACCCTTGTTGGCTCCCATGGTCATCAGCAGTATCTCTGCACTGAGTTGTTCAAATTTTCAGCCCTTTTTGTCCTTAGAAAATAACTTTGAGGCTGGTGGACCTAGTTCTGGATAATCTTGATCATCAACTTGATATGATGTAGAATCACCCTGGAGACAGAAAGCTGGGCAGATCTGTAGTGGAGTTTCTAGAGGTCGTTAGTTGAGGAAGGAAGACATAGCCTAACTGTGGGAACACCAGTCCATGGACGGCGGTCCTGAGCTGAGTAGGAAGGGGAGAAGGGACCTGAACACCAGCATCCATTTCTGTCTGACATGACCAGCTGCCTCAAGCTCCTGCCCCATGCCTTCCCCACTGCGATGGACTGTGCCCTCCAAGTGTAAATAAACCCTTCCTTTATTACCTTGCGCTTGCCAGATATTTTGCCACAGCAATGAGGAGGGTATTAATTATTCAATACAGTGATGATACATTTAAATCTCTCCCCTAAGTACTCAGCCAGCAACCGTGTTTGTTTCTTCAGCTTCCTGCTTTGGCTGTCCCTATAGCAAGCCCTTGTGTGACTGAGTTCACTTTATGTGTTTTGTTGTTGTTATGAGGGTGACTCATAGCTGTGTGTTACCATGCTGAGTGTGTTTTCTGCCCACCTATGTTGAAGTTTCGTTTGTAAAGTGAAATAGGAAGGGAGAGATCACACCCAGGGTATGTAGTTGGGTCCAATGCCGTATCTTCTGGGATGTCATGTCCGTGAAGATGTCTGACATGGGAGACCTTGCTGCAACCTCGTGTCCTTTGTCTACCTGCTCTCATCCAGATGAAAACCTGGGCTAGTGCTGTGGAGTGAAGAGAGCAACCACATGCTTCCACCATGCTGCCTTTTGTCTTGTTCAGCTACACTTGCAACAGTAACATCAATAACAAAACCTAAATGTTAGCCTGTGTTTTTAAAAAAAATTTCTTGAAAGTTTCTGAAAACCCTAAAATTTTATTTATCCAAGTGGGGTATAATGTTGCATGTCTGTGGCCTGAGACTGAGGTAGGAGGATTTAGAGACCCGCCTGGGTACATAATAAGACCAGTTCAGGAAGAAAACATCTTTGAATATGGTGGCTGTAGGCAGAACACTTCTTGCCAGGTCTGGAACCAGGGAATGATGTGGAATGTGTGATGGTCAGCCCACCACGTCAGCCTCGAGTCCTGGGAACTCCATTTGGTACCAGTTGGCTGTTCCCTCTGAAATGTTACCCATGATCCTGATTGTAGTTCCTGTTGAAAAGCTCCTGAATAAGGCGACTTAAGCAATCAATGCCCCAGGAGACAAATGCTCATATCAGGACCTTGGTATCAGCCAGAACACAGCCATTTTTTACAAGGAAGAAAAAGCCATGACATTTTATATGTTGAAATTGATTATTTCATCAATAGGTTAATAGAAATCCAGGCTGTAAGTTCACTTCCTGGTTATACATCCCAACCGTAATGGGAGAACAGAGCATGAAAAATGCAGAGTGCAAAGCGACCAGGAAGAGGTTTCCACGCTGAGCTTCACCCCTTCTGCAGAGCTCAGCCTGGATTCTGCCTATTTATATGTAAATGTTCTAGAAGGGGGTCTGCTTCCCCACAAAGCTTTACAGTAACCACTTCTTTCTGGAACTTGTGAAATATGCCCCCAGACTCTGGGCGCATCCACTAGTAAAAAATGAAGCACATGCCAGTTGTAGGCACACAATGTAACCGGGGGGGGGGGGGGGGGGGGAGCGACAATCCTTTGATAGTTCTTGAAAACTATGAGCAGTTGGATTTCCTTCCTTGGTCAGAGTTGACTGGCTGATATCTGAATGGCCCTTCCAAGGTATGTTGCTTCCTGGGATGGACCCAAGACCTTAAAGATGCAGAGATGAGCAGAACCCCTCCACTTTCTCCCCCCACCATGAAAAGTTAAATTTCTATCCATGTACAATAGGTGGAAGACTTCAGGCAGCAGCTGTAGGTATTTACTGCTTAGGGATTAACATTTCTTACCAGATTATTTGGTGTTCACACTACAGAGTGAGCTTAGGTGTTTAATTATAGCAGCTTTAGTCATTTTAAATCAATGGGCAGTGAATTCACAGTTGTTTGCTCTCATGATTAAACTTTGCACTCTAAACATGTAAAACTATATTTCAGAACAGGTTTTGTCCTTGACAGTTCAGGTTTCTCACATGTATTTTGGAGATCTTTAAAAAAGAACCTCAATGAGAGTGACCAGCAACTGAACTCACCTAGACATCTCCCTAGGTCACTTTCTGTCCATCAGAGACCCCAGTGTTCACACAACCTAGCCAGGGCCTGACACCTTACTGCCTGCAATTGAGTGGCTTGAACACCACAGCGGATAGGATTGATTAACCTATCCTGAGTCACGGATGCCTCAGCATCAGAGCTGACCGTTCTCCAGCACATGCCTTCGGAGTCAGTCTGGCCTCCCACCTGTGCTACGTCGCCTAATGGAAGCTTCTAGCAGGCTCTCTTCCTTACTTCGGAGTTGAAAAACAACGGCCCATGGTGCCTTTCCTTGGGTGCATGGCAACTTTCACCCCTGCTGAATATATTGGTATCTGCCTACGGTAGTGGGCCCAGCTAAGACACATGGCTTTATCTCGACCCCCAAGAGCCACCTTGTCAACTCTTGCTGGCTTCTGTGACCTCTATCTGCAAGGGCTGAGGGTATCCTTAAACCATCTTCTTCCAAGCCTCAGGTATCTCATGTGTGCATGTGTGCGTGTGTGTGTGTGTGTTATGTGTGTGCACACGTGCATACATGTGTAGGAAGTGTGCACATGCATGTATGTGAGTCTTGTGCATATGCATGTCGCCTTCCAAGGTACCCAGTAGAAGGAATGGGCCAGATGGAATGGAGACCATGTCTATGTCCCTGGAGTGTCTCACCACATGTCTGCAGGACAGTGTGCACAGTTGCTCTATGTCCCCTTGGCTCAGAAAGTTACTTTAACTCCAGCATTCTATTAGAAGTGACTTGGTGTCCGTCTTTTCTGAAGGACATCTGAGGAGTCTTCTCTGTGGGGGAGCCCACTTGGTCTCCAGGGAGGGAAGATGCTCCTCGGGTTCTGAGGTTTAAGCTAGTGTTCATCTCCCAAACGGTTTTGAGGAGGAGTTGACAAAAATATTCTTGTTTTAAAAGACTTGCATCTGAAACATAAGGTCTTAACCTGCTTACCACCAGGGTCACTTGGACTAGCTTCTGGACCACAGCCCACAACAGCCCAAAGGCCAGCATTTGCCCTTCAGCAAGTAGCCTTGTGCTCAGCAAAGGGTATACACACATTTGCCTGGGAACATCCTTGATTTCGTGAGCACTCCACTAATGAAGCTGGCTCTCTTCTACCTTTCTCACCTCTGTGCTGTCCTGGGGGGGAGTGGAGGGCCAATGGGAGCCCCTTGTGCTGCCCCTTGCTGCGCACTCAGAGGTGACTTCATGCGCTGCTTTGACATTTCTTTTCTCCCTTTTTCATTTGTTTTCTTTCCTTTTTATTGTCTCTCTTTCCCCCTGCCCTCTCTGCTCTCGGGATGCAGCCAAACGCAAAGCATGGAAACTAAACCGTGTTGGTAGCCTGCGAAACATATACAGCAGCAGCAGCACCAACACCGAAGGTAACCGCACCCCGCCCGCCCCGGGCTCCTGCCTCCCCGCCTTCCTTCCTTCCTTCCTCCCCATGCAGACATGGAAATGCAGCCGCATGCCCCCGCATTGTGTTTGCAGTCGGCCCTGTGGTCTTTTCATCCTTTTGTTTGTGTGTTCTATTTTACCATTCATGTTCCTTTCAGCTTACTTAAATTTTGACCTTTCCCTTCAGTCGTAGGGTAGTGATGTTTAAATTACTTTGGAAACCTATTTTCTCCTCTTTTTCCCCCCTTTCCTTTATACATGTGGGCACTCAATGTAATATTTCCCAAGTTATTACAGTTTTTAAAAGTGTTAGTATCAGGTGTAATGATCTGTAGCCAAATACAATAGTGTGCCGTGACATTTAAGTAACAGTCTTAATTTGTTTTGTGGAAGCATTCTCCATAATGCTCTCTGCAGCTCTAATGCAGAGGCAGGCAGGCCTGGGCCATTTGCATGGGCTGCTATTGCTTGTAAATTCCTTATATTGTTTTGTTTCTAAAGGTCGTCTGGTGCCAAAGTTCACAAATTGACTTGGGTTGCTTTTTTCACCAAAGACAGCCGTCATTGCTTTTGTATAATAGCAGATTGAATTCCCCCCCACACCTTCATTTGAACAACACAATTATAAATTGCCTTTTTTTTATGATTACAAATGTCAAGGGTCAGAATTATTTTGATACCAGGCAAGGGAAAGGCAGCGCCATCCACCTAGGTATACGAAGGGAGGCTGGCGGGTAATACACGATGCAAAGCAGGTCACAATCCAGCAAGCTTGGTATAATAGGGGGATTTCTTTTTCACTTAAGTGCAAGCCAAATGGGTCAAGTAATGGCGAACTCGCGCCCTAACACTAATTGACTTATTTGGGGATGATTATAACTGTAATATTTTTCTTAATGTCACTGTTTTCTGGGCTGTTGATTTTAGCGATTGCCAAGTAGTGGCATTAAATCTCCTGTAAATTTTAAATTGCGCACTATTTCTGTAAACAAGTCCCTTCTTCACATCCCAGTCATTAACCTTTCCTGATTTATGTCCCCGTCCTCTCTCTCTTCCCTTCACAATTACTCCTGCTTCGCCACCAAAACCCCTGCTCTCAAGCAGGAATGAATGCACAAAACCAAAGCCACGCTCACAGGGCAGCTTGTTAAAGAGCCATTTTGTAATCACAGTTTTGTTTGCACTCTTCAAGAGGAGGTGATTGGTCCAGATCCTGTGCATCCTGGCCTGGCCACATCTCTCTTAAAAGCATTCAGAAAGCGAAATGAGAGAGAGGGCAGGACGGGGATTTAAGAAGCCGCCTCACCAGTTACAATTTGTGTTGAGCACAAAGGGTATCAGTTTGCTGCTTCGCGGTTCTTTAGATGGTAAGGTTTTTCTTTTTTCTTTTTTTTTTCTTGTTTTGTTTTTGTTTTGTTTGGGGTACTTATCTCTCTGTCCTGTGTCTGTATCAAAGGTGTCTTTCTTTTATATGGTATAGGTTATAGGTTTATTGATAACATCTTGCCTTAAAAACTAAAGAAAGTTGTGACCGTTTTAAATGTTATTGAACACAGAATTGAGGGACAGTGAGAAGACGTTTAAGTCACTCATTGGCCTCGAGACTCAAGCCTCCCTTCCCATCACCTGCCAGAAGGCCACGAGGAGACCTTGGTGGGCTGAGTTGACACTGTGTATTTAAGGAGTCACGGGAAGGCTGATTTCTCAGTATTCGCTGCTCGGGTAACAGGGAACTTGGCATCCAAGGCAGCCAGAGCTTCGGAGGCCATTTAGGGGTTATAGAGGGCAGACGGTGAGCAGATGAAATCCGCTCCTCTCTGAGTCCTCGGTAGCTTAACTCACTTGGGGTCCCTCCATATGAGTGAGTGCCACAGGTATCCAAGGGGACTGGGGGGCAGGCAACTGTGGGGGTTGAGACACAGGTAGCCATGAGGGTTGGGGTACAGGCAGTGACCACACTTCGGTTATCCCATATTTCCAGCTACAGCAAGCTGCTCCATGTGTGGTTACATTTGTTTCAGTTGAGCAACATGGTCATTCTTCATTACTATGTGTGTGCATACTACCTCATCCCATATAACTTTTAATAATTTGTTACAGAATCCATGTAATTCCATAAATTATCAAAATATTTTTCTAATCTCAGGCTTTTAATGTGTGATGTTACCACATGATTGCTGACTATAAACTGACCCTTCATGAAAATGTGTGTGCTGAAGACTCTGTCTTCTGTTAGATAATCTGAAACATACCCATCCTGAAGTATAGTATTTCTTAAAATGCCTCACTTGGTCGATTTCAGAGATTCCCAGAAAATAACAAAATAAAGTTGGTTCAGAGTTCAGTTCCCTAGACACAAAAATTAGATTTTTTAATTGGTAGGAGGAGCAATTAATAAACCCTGTTTTTGGTAGCCTGAGTGTGGCTCAGGAGTTGTGGGACCCTCCTGGGGACACACGTTGTAAGACAGACTGGGCTGTGCCTGAAGCCCTGTGATCTCACTGAAGTCTTTTCTTTGATGCACACACTGTCCTGGCCCCTGGACCGCACTGTCTCATTTGATTCTCACGGTGCCCCTGCCAGGCAGGTATTGTGTTACACACAGGGAATTGAGGTTGTGGTAAGTTCCACAGACCCTGTGCTGAGCTGTGTGCTCCAGGACCTCCACTCCGGAGGGGCGGTGGTGGATGACCAGAATGTGTGAAAATGGATTGTTAGGAGGACAGATACGGGTTAGAAAAGCGCAGGTGGGTCCTTCACCCCGCAGATCTGCTTAGCCTTGAAAGCCAGGTAAATGCTTGTTGCTCATCCTGTAGAACCCAGGGTTGAAGCTTTGTTCCTTCTTCACAATTAAACTCCCACCCAGGGTTGGTAAAATGAAATGCTCTTCAGCAGGAATTGCAGCTTTGGCTTGTCTCTGAAACCTGTGGAGCAGGGTCTCCGGGGCCTCTTAGTGGCATGGTTCCCCAGCCAGCACTCTTGCTGGCCCAAGCAGGTGGGTGGGGCTCACTTTCATTGTTTGACTCTGTGGCAGATGTTTCTGAGAAAGTGCCTAGGAGCCAAGATGTAGGACAAACAGGCCCTGCATGACAGTGTCCTTCCAGGTTAGTGTGACATAGAAATAAGGCTGTCCTATCTCAGAAGCCAGAGCCAGGTGGACTCACCAACTGAGCAGAACGTCTGATGTGTGGATAGAGGGGGGATAGTAGAGGGAGCGGTGAGCACTGCGTGGTGAGCAGAGTCCACCCGTTCTGTCACAGTCAGCAGTGAGTGCCTGAATGTCGCCCACTTCACACGGCAGACGACCCTCACACCCAAGGATCAGCAGGACTCAGAAGTGGCCCAGAGTCCAAAAAGAAGACCCTGTGGTTCTGCTCTGTCTACAGAGGTCCATTTCTGTGGGTTTGGAATCTGACCAGAGACAGGCAGAGGAAACCCACACTGGGTCCATCACTTTGAGGCACAGGCCTCTCAGGCAGAATCTTGTCTGTGGTATTCTGATATAATCACTAAAATTCTACCTAGAGACTCTATGGAAAGTCACTTTTCAGTATAGGGACAAACTGACAGAAGCAAGCATACCTAAGTGCTAAATGTTAATGCAGCTGTCTTAGCTGCTGTTCTACTGCTGTGACAAGATACCATACCCAAGGCAGAAAGAAAGAGGTATTGGACTTAAAGTTTCAGAGGTTGAGTCCTTGACCATTATGGTAGGGAGCATGGCAGCAGGTAAGCGGGCATAGCACTGGGCAGTGACTGAAAGCTCGCATTTTTAGACACAACCATCAGGCAGAGAGAGAAGCAAGGAGAGCTAACTGGAAATGGTGTAGGCTTTTGAAACTTCACAGCCCATCCCATCCCCCAGTGACACACCTCCTCCAGTGAGGCCACACCTCCTAATCCTTCCCAAACAGTTCCACCAACTGGGGATTCACTATTCAAACATATAAGCTTATGGGGGCCATTCTCATTAAAATCATAGGAGCTACAGCAATATTGGAAAATCCAAGCTCCACAGTTGGCTTCATGGAGAGACAAGGAAGGCTGGCCATGCTGGGCAGCCGATTCTGGGAAAGCAGAAAGGTCTGTTGATTGACCTGGGCCTCCTAGCACAGCTCACTCCCTGGCTCCTGTACCTGGGAGCCCAGGGGACCCTGAACAGTGAAGACAGACCGCATCCCAACAGTAAATATACAGAGCCCTGCACATGTGTCTCATCTGTGTTTTCCTTTAAGAATGGGAGGGAACATAAAAGTAGCCCTTGCATGATGGTGGGTTTGACCTGACATCTTAAACAGGCCATCTCCATCATCAGGTAAATGCCTAAACTGCATGCCAGTTGAATGGGCTTTTAAAAGAGACACACTGAAACATTTTTCAAAATGTATTGCTAAAAAAAAAAAAAAAAAAGCATATTAGCCTGAAGCTATATATGACATTGTATCACGTGGCCCATAGGGCCCAGGTTGTGGGAGACCTAGAGGTTGAAACTGAACATTGTCCATTTGTTTACAGTTCACACAGAGGGCAGTGCCTCTTTAGATCACGGGGATGTCTTCCCTTGCAGAAGCAAGGTGGGGACAGCATGCTGTGGCGTTCTCTAGCCAGCTAGTGCTGATGTGGCCGAAGACCAAAAAATGGAGAGATGATAGCTCCATGGTTAAGAATACATGCCAATCTTGCAGAGGACCCAAGTTCAGTTCCCAGCTCCAGGCAATACAGAATCCCCTTCTGACCTCTCTGAGTACCTGCACTCACAGGCACAAATCTTGAGAAACAGTTGGAGTGACCTGCCTGTGGGCACCCATTAAACAGGGTATACAACAAACCCCTCTCCACCAGTAGATGCCCCAATGGAAAACCCTTTGCTAATACTCATGAACGGAGGGGTGGCTCTAGACACAGTTGAAGTCTGTTGTTGAGCAGAGGTATGGTGTACCTTACCAAAGACCCATCCTTCTGTGGCAGGAGCCGAAGAGGTGGC